TCCCAAGAACCTGACTTAACCCATCACTCTCCTGTGTAGTGAAGTATCCCTTCATTAACTCTTAATTTTCTTTGATTTGATTAGAAATGCCTGAAACATTTTTTTTCAAGATTTCTGAAATATTTTAAACATTTTTGAATCTGCCTAAATTAGTAAAAAATTTTAGATGCTCAAAAGTGCATTTCATAGATTTCATAGACATTAGGGCTGGACGGGATTTCGTGAGATCATTGGGTCCAGCCCCCTGCCCAAGAGGCAGGAAGTCAGCTGGGGTCAAATCACCCCGGCAAGTTAAGCATCCAAACGCTTCTTAAAGGTATCCAGAGAAGGTGTTTGCACCACCTCTAAGGGAAGTCTATTCCAGACTCTGGAGATTCAGATGGTAAAGTAGTTTTTCCTTATGTCCAGTCTAAAATGGTCTTTCAGCAGTTTGTGATTTATTTTGTTTTGGGTTAATAAATTAGTTACAGTTTGGCTTCTTTCTTAGCTGTGATTGATTGATATATGTTATAGAATACTGGAGCTGTGTATTCCATATGTATTATGATGATTTGGTGCTTTAAAGAGCGTGATTGACCCAGACTGCATCTATCCTTGTTCTGAGCAAGGCTGGTCATTCAGCTGTGAGGGGCAAACTGATTAGGGCCCACTTCCAGCTGGATCATTTAAGAGAACTCCCCCCCCCAAAAAGGAGAGGGTGTATGGGGAGGAGCAGCAAAGGAACAGTGAACAGTAAAACTGCAAAAGGTAACAAGTATGGAGCCAACCCTAGGAGGCTTTCTGTCCTTCTCATCTGGATGAGGAAGAAGTTTGTGGGATTTTGGTTTTAGACTGTAGTTCTTTCTCTAAGAATAAATTTGGCGAAATAAAACTGAAAAGAACTAGGGAGTGGGTGCTTGTCGTTTATGTAGGTTGGAGATTGGGACAGTAGTCCACAATGTGCAGAAGATGGTTATTTGATAACATACACACACGTATGTGAATATTCATAGATATATATGTACTGATAGACATTGTGACACAGCCTTACCGTGTTATTACATCCTAGATTTTCCACAGGGCACCTGTCTCAGTTCACTGTGATAGGTTGGGAAAGGAGCAGCTGTTCAATATTTATTCTCTTCTGAGTTCGGCACTAGGATCCTCTTCTTGGCTCCTGGCACTGAATGGGGACTTTTATAACTATTTGGCAGCCACAATTAAGAAAATAGATGAGTTTCACTATTTTACTGAATTATCACTGTAACATATTGAGGTATCAAACTATTATTGCCTCTATTTTACAGGCAAAGACTTGAGGCATGCTGAAATCAAATGACATCCAATATCACATAGAAATTTTAAGGCAGACTCAGATAAAGACCCCAGGCCTCATAAGTTCCACTTCATGACTTAACCACAGGGCAGTCCTTCTCCTCCAGCAGACTTCTATCTTATCTAATTGACTACTTTGTACAACTCCTGAAGTGAAAAAAGAAAGTATTTTGGATTCTTTTTTCCGTGATCAATTCATTCTGGTGCATAGTTTTTTCCCCCCCTACTTTCACCCACATAGTTTTCATGGGGTCATTTGGTGCACTAGATGAGGTGTACCACCTTCTGGGATGGACATGTGTAGAATCCATGGATTCTGATGGTTTCATTGTGTGGGGGGCATAGCTTCTGAAGGCTATCTGGTAGCTAGTAGAGGGAAAGGGGAATATTTCTCTTAAGGTCTGGTCTTTTTTTGAGTGTGGGCTGTAATTGTTTGATGATCCTTATTATTGGTTCACGTGTGGAACAGTAGGTGACAACCAAGAATTTATGGTCAGTGGGGTTTTTTGTCTTGTAGTAAATTGCTTCAGGGTAACTGGGTGGCTCTTTAAAGATACTGCTTCTCTGCTGGAGTGTCATTGCTGGGTAAAGGCAGTGTTCAGTTCAGAGGAGGGTGTCTAAATATTCTTCTAAGAGATAGTCAGGTGCTCCATTACCAGTATATAGATTGCAGCTTTCTTTCTGTGTTTGGGATGATTGCTGGCTTTGTGGTCCATGAGGTTTTTTTTTATTCTGTGTTTTATAGGGTGCCATCCCAGATGTAGGTCATGGTATCTAGAAAATTTATTAGTGAAGAAGTAAGTACTACAGACAGAATTTGATTGAAGGGGTTGTTGTTGTTAAACCTGTGGTAGAAGTCAATAAACAAGTCCAGGTGATCAGTTCCTATGATACACATATCATTTCTATCTTCCAGGTATACTTTTATCTTGGTGGTGCAGTTTTCTAAAATTCTTCCTCCAGGTGGTTCAATAAGTGATTGACATATTGCGTGAGGGAGGGAGGGAATCATTTGAAGGAAGTGTTGGCTATTGAGTGTGATGTTGTTGTGGGTGAGGATGAAGTGCATATGCTGTGCATTTGTACATATGTTGTGGTTTCAAATCTGAGTGTAGTCCATGTTCTTGTGGGTAGTTTAGGCAGGCAGCTGTGCCTTTATGATGTGGGATATTACTGTAGATGCTGATGATATCCATACTTGCAAGTATTACTTTATCCCTGCTAAATGCTCTGTACTCAGTGGGTGATAACAACTCTCTTAAATGGTCTTGCTCTTGCACTTGTCAGGTTATCCTTTCTACTGCATGCATCCTATCTATTAGTTATCTGATATCATACCCTGTTTTGAGTATATCTTGTATCCTGGAGTTTTACACAAGTCTTTGTTCTACCTGCTGGTTAGCTGTGCTGTGTCTGCTTTTTTCTTTCAGAGACCAGGGGTACAGTGGTATCCCAAAGCTTGTCTGTGTCCCTCCCGGCTATACAGTTGGTCCCATAAAAGATATCATCATAACAATCTGCAATGTATTTATCCTCACAAAATCCCTGTGTAGCTGAGAAACATTATGGTCCCCATTTTTTATAAACAGGGAGAGAGAGAAAGATAATATAGATACCTAAGAGAGAGGTTTTTTTTTTCCTAAAGTGTTTCCATCCTGAGCAGCAGTTATCATTTTCCCATTGTGTAAGCATCTAAAAAACAGGAATTAATTTACACTGAAGAATTTGTTTATCCGTAAGTAGCATGTTGAATACAAAAATTAAATGTGTAGTAGAGATACTTGACTAACTCCTTAAAATATGGCCACACAATTCTTTGGTACTAAGACCGACCCATTAAATAACATATAATATGCAAGGGATTTGTCTTCTGGGTGGAAGATGCAATCTCATGTTTTAAGAAATTCTGTAACATTAGAGATGCTTCTCTTCTGCATCTTTGTTTTAAGTGCTGGCTTATGTACCTTTTTTATTACTGCCAAAACAGTCCCCAAGCCTGTCTCTATGCTTCTTGATCAGTTGTGCTGTTTACCTGACCTGCAGTAAAATTATCAACAGATTCAGTGGACTGCTTATAAATGAGGGTTTAGTAGGCCCATTATTTTTTACAGTGAGTTTGTTACATGATAATAAAGAAACATAGATTGCCTACAGACCATTAGGTATTTGGTTTCTTTTTTTCCCCATGCCACCAGATAGCTTGGTGGTATACTGGCTTTTAACCTCTGCAGACTTAGCTTTACATCATACTGAGGTCACAAGCCTGGAAGACAAAACATAGTTCTTAATGTAAACAAATTAACATAAACAATCCTAAAGCAATATAACGTGATTAATAAGCACAACAGTAAAGCTTAGGACTTCTTGTCTGTAACTGCCAAAGTGCTTAGAAACATGTGCAAGCAGCTGAGAAACGGGGATGATTCAGTAACCTTCCAACATCATACAGTGAACTAATGGCAGATCTACATCCAAATGCAGGTCTCCTCAGCCAGTTGACCATACTGCCTCTCGGCATGCTCAATAATTTCTTCTGTACAAAATAGGTAAGGTGGTTTCAGGTGAAGAATCATGCATTGGCAGACTTGTATAGGGAAGCTGGCACAAGGACAGGAATTGGTACTGTTCCACGCACTGGAGGGAAATGTTCATCCCTGACACTCTTTTTAGGTAGAAAAAATGGTTCTTTTGTGAGTGCTGTACAAATACATATTTGCTACTGGTATGTGTGTGTGTCTAATGCACTTGAGTCAGAAGCTTTTTGTCAATAAAACCCATTGGCAATGCATACAGTGTGAGTGTCCTTCTGCTTTCAACTAAAGGCAGGGCTTCTACAACCTCCTTCTGTTCCTTCTCACTGCCTTGTCCAAAAGCCTAACTATCATTTCCTGAACATTAAATTGTGTATTCTGTTGATTGTACCAGTTCAAGGTAAATTTTAGTCACCCTGTATGTTTGTGTTCTCATCCACCCTTCCCAGTCTCTCCTATCAGTACGTATCAGTAGAGCAGCAAGGCACCAGGGAAATTTGTATGACAATAGCAGCGGACTTATACTTTATGATGTTGAAACAGAGTCTTGATATTTAAGAATGCATCTATGGAAGCAATCATTAGCTGTACATCAGGGATTTTAAACCTTTTTTAAGGAGTGTACCCCTTCTGGATACACTTCTGGCAGAGCAGGGAGTGGGGGGGAGGGCGGGGGGTTTGCACACAGCGGCGGGGCTGGGTGGTGGTGGCAGCTGCATGCAAGCTCCCCCACCGCTGTATGCAAGCTCCCCCATCACTGCATCTGGCCAGCTGGCTGAGTGGCAGCTGTGCGGCCAACAGAGGGGACCTGCTGCCCTCTTCTTCCCGGCCCTGGTCCTGGGAGGCGGCGGTGCAGAGTGGTAGATGGTGGTGCTCTGTCCCCACCCACCCATGTGTACCCCCTAGTGCTTTTCTAAGTACCCCCAGGGGTATGCGTACTCCCGGTTGACAACTCCTGCTCTAGATAAAGTGAAATACTTAAAATGAAGTTTAATTTGATGGCACTGGAATCCAACAAACTTTACTTCAATAGAGATAATTGCATCCAGTTGATTGACTGGGTCATGGTTCACCCCATAATTCATAAAACTGTTAATTGATCTAGGTAATCTAATAATTATGATTCCTTTTTTCTGTTTTTTCTTTTTATACTAGCGGCTCTGATTAGAGGGAATCGCAAGAACTGTGCTCAATTTTCTGGTTCTCTTGACTGGTTGATCAGCAGATTAGAAAGACTAGAAGCCTCCTCTGGTATGTTCCTCAGTAATCTATTCACTTGTTTTTGCCAGTTTTTTTTCTTATGCAGAATTGACAAAGTGTTTATTTAATCATATTATTTTGAAGATTTTTATCTTTTCCCTTGAGTAGGGTCATGTGTGCTTATAAGAGGATGGGTTGACGTCATGAAACTCATATTTCTACCCATCACAGTGTTATCCTTTGATCAACATTGGAATTCAGTGTTTCTTTTTGAGTCTCTCTGATTTGGTATTTAATGTGGACTAAAAATAAACATCTGAGCCTTGTCATCTGGTTATATTATCATTGCCATTCTGCAATACGAGCAAACAAGATCTAAATCTAAAGTGTTACTTTTCCATTTGCATTTCTTTTTAAGATGCCCTTTTCACCATCTAAATCTCCAGTGCTAGTACCTAACCCTTCCTTTCAAAATCTGCATTTGTTCTAGAAATTCAGTCAAACTAAAGATAATAGTAGATGCCTTATATTTATACTGTGTATCTCTCTTAAATAATTGTGGTGGTCTTTTAAGTATGTTCATTCTCTCTGTGTTAGTGCAGTAAACGTGCACACACGTAACTATATAACATTTAACAAATTATATACATTATAGTTGGAGTCAAAATATACCCATTGCTCCTGTGAAAAATGCTTCTGTTACTTCTAATAAATATAGCTCATCTAAAAGATTGCCTTTTTGTTATCAGTTGCCTTCTGTCTCTGTCTTGAAAGAATGCATTGGGTTAGTTGTGATATGGAGAAGAGTGCCACCTTCTGAGTCATTAATGCACTTCTTATAATATTTGAATTTTCCTTGTAGATTTCCTATCTAGTGACTGATTTAGTTTCACTTAGCCAGGAAAGAAGATTTTCTAAAGGCTTAAAGAATTCTCACATTTCTCACATGATTATAAAACCTTTGTTATTGTACTGACTCAGATTAGAGGCATTCCCAAGGTTTATAGACTTCAAATCACTCATCCAACAACTCAAAGACACTGGTGAATTTATATCACTGCAGAAAGTTATACAGAAATCACTATCTTTATGTGTAAAGATTTTTCCGTTGAGCTATATGGAAAGTAGCTTTCTTATGAAAAGACACTCTCAGTTATATACAAACTACTTCAAAATGCTTTGGCACATGAATAGCTTCTAATCAGCATGATATGACAGCAAACCTCTGTTTTTAAAGTAGCACTTGTAGTGTATGATACTTTCAGAAGTTGTATGTTGTTTTCCAGGATAACATGCACATTAAATGTAAGGCTGTCAGATGGCTCAAACTATTGGATCCCCATTTTTGTGTCAAAAAGCATTCATTTTTCAATCTTTTGACTTTGAATATTGGGATAGTTATTTCTGTCAGCATATTTAAAGTCAAATGAAGTCTTATTTTAAATTTGATGTTGAGTTCTTGTTTTGATATTTTAATTATTTTTTCATATCCTCAAAATATCTTGGTCTTGGTTTGCATATTTTACATGGACTTAAACAATATGTGTAGAAGTTTTCCCAGGTAAGTAATTTGTTTCCATTGATATGGGTAGCTTGATATAAGCTAAAGTAAATATTACAAGGTAAGTATTTTATAAGTTTAATATGCCCTGGGAATATGGGGACCACTTTAAAAGATACATATTTCACTTGCAAAATGTGGCTCCCACTGATTTTTTTTAAAAAAATAGGATTCGCTTATTATCAAGCTACGGTTTTTAAAAGTTTGATAGAAAAATGTCTCGTTTGTTGCCGGTTTCTACCTTGTTCAGTTTGATTCAGTAGATGGATGATAGACAAATACCATATTAAGATTTTTTTTGTGCAATGTATCCTATGTCAGTGGTCAGAAGTGAGTTTGTTGATTTAGGAACTGATGATTTAAGTTCTCTTTTAAGTTGCTGCTGTAAAAACTGATTTTTGTTTTAAATATAAATTTTTAAATTTTGCTGCTGCTTACCCTGATAATGTGCTGGGATGACTTTTTTCCTGGTAGCTGGGTGGTAGCATCCGGGGACTGGGATTTTGGGAGGAGTCACTAAGTCCATTTAAGATAAAGTTTTGACTGTTTTCCATGGATGGTTTTCATATTGACAGCCACAATATTCAACTGAAATGCTTTGCTTATATGACAAAATAAATACAAAATACTATAACCTTTCTATTTCACTTGTAGTTTTATCCATGGTGCACTGGTTTAGATAAAACTATTTATCATAAGAAAATAATATATACCTTAATATCCACTTTCTTTATGGTAATTTATTTCACACTTTTAGTTGTGCGCAAGCCTACTTCCATGTGCAAAATGGAACAAAATATGTTTGATCTGAGATAATGAGTTCTTTAATGAATAACTTAAAAGAATCAGGTGAACTAGGGAAGCTATATTAGAAGTAATCAGTGTAATAGGTCTTTGTCTTTTCTTATAACACTTTTTTGCGTGCACTAGTCTATTAAATTATCTCACAAATAGGAGCACAGAGTTTAATTTAAATATCTCTTCTCCCTGACAAAGGTGTTTGATGTGCTTATTTCAACTCCCTTAATTAAGAAAGGGATAAAACGGATAAAAACAAATCGAAAAAGATATACACATGGAGTGCTTTTTTACCTTGAAACTTCTGATTTT